CATATGACGTAGCAAAAAAATTGTGTGACAAACATGCTGAATTTTTTCGCACATTATTCATTTAAGAATACCAATTGTAATTTACTTGAATATCTTCAGAATGTATAGTATGTGCTACAGAATCAAATCTAATCTTAATTAATAGAATATATTCACGTAGTTGTCAACATTATGTAATCATAGGTGGATCGGAAGTAGTGAATAAAAATTCGTTGTTAAGACGGAAAAAAATTGAAACTATTTTCATATCACAGATTTTTGTAATGCATTTTAAAAATTGATAGTAAATTCGGACTAAAAATCAAAACTGTCAGGCATATACAATACGAAATTACTCGAATTTCGCATGCTATTGATATATTCTTCCTGTAAACATATTTGTCACTTGATTCCGTTTTTTGGTTCTGACTACGGTCTAACCAAACCTATGACATCGAGTTTTTATTCGACGCCAACAGTAATATGTAGAATTGTATATATTTTTTTTCATTTGATACAAATTGTCGTTCTTGATGTGCTAATAAAACATAAGATAAGTGAATATGTTGCTTATGTTCATGATCAATTTCAAGCACCACTGTACCAAAACTTTATTGACACCATAAATTAGTAGTAATTATATGATCAAGTTTGTTAGAAACAGAGAGAACAATATCTGTTTTAGCAGTTTCATAAAATTTTATATAAAATACAGGTACGAGAGGACTCATGAAACATTTCTTCATTGATAAGGTCAACCATAATAAAGGCTGACAATGATGTAAGCATCTTTTCAATGCTTTTATAAAAACTTTCATATCGACGAGGAAATTTCATAGGACATGAGTAGAACAATAACTGAAGATGAACCACTATAATATATAAGCTGCACAAAGATTCTGTACTATACTGTCCACACTCAAGATCAAAATATACAGAAACATTTTACGTTTTGAATGTTTGAGTCACTTTATCTGCGTACAGTTTCAATCTTATTTCAAAACGAAAACCTAAAAAGACATGATTGAAAATTGAGATATCATGGGACATTTCCTTTCACCTCTGATTAGAAAAGAAACATATTAAAGGCTTCTCTATATAAAGTAAAAAAAGAATATTTGTAATTAAAATGAACTACTTCCAAAAGGTTTGTTACATCTCGATGATTTGAAAAAGAACTTGATAATTTTTCGAACAATTTATGTATATTTTACAAAACATTGAAACGATAGTATTTTATATTATAGTTTTGTGAATGTATTCTATAGTTTAGTTAGCAACGAAGAGATTGTTACAAGAGGATGATCACATTACCTTAGCATGAAATTCTATTGCAATATAGTGAAAGTTCCAAATCTGCATTTCTTCACGCTCCTTTTAGATCTTATTTCATACAATGACTACATTTATCAGAGAATAATCTTGAATTAAAATGCTAAATTACGCAGTATAAATTCAGAATAAAGAAAATAAATTGAATCGTTGGCATATGTATCATATATGTAAGTATTTTGTTTGCTACAGTAATAAGTGAAAAGCCAGTCTCTTAGCCATTGCTCATATCATTGGTTTCATATCATGAGATACTCGTCTATCGTAACATAATAATAATATCGCATCTAAACAACTGAGAATCATCAATCATTGAAAGAATGTCGCTGGACTCGATCGTAAATCTAGAAATACCACAGTGACATGCTTTTCGCCTATTGCTAGAGAAAGTGAGTTACGGTTATAAATATCAAATACCAGGTTGTGTGATTTTTTTAATCGTAATTTTTCGGTCAAGATAAACTTATTTTGTAAAAAATAAACGCTTTCGTATAAAGTTTAAACAATGACTTTCAAGATCGAGGTGTTCGATTCTATAATTAATTTCTTGAAACTTAGAATTTGACATTTTTGGGAAAACCATTCATATATTCGGATCTATCAATCACAAATATCTCTGATCATTTTTCAAAATAAATCGTCAGTTTCTCCAATAAGCTTTTCCTGACCGAAAAATGAAGCATAAGGAATGATGGTGACTTATCATACGGCAATTAACTAGCATCACTGATTTTCCTTCCATTTTTACTACTCAATCTTCTACTGACACTACTGATAAAGCCGTTCAACTGATCATGTTTTTATTACGGTTGCCTGTGGAGTTAGAGAAGGTTTTTGTTGTTTCTTCAAAAAATCAGTTTATTCGGATGAAACTATTGAAAACTATCAACGAGACCTACTGGCTGAGTGAGGAAGCATCATCTTCCACTGCACCGATAGAACAGCACATCAATACACAATTTTTGTACTAGAAGAAATGAAAAGTATGGTGAATAAAGAAAAAAAACAATGTAAAAGACAATCGTTTTCATAGCATCTGTTTCTCTTCATATGCTGTCTATGTTTACGCTTATATTGAACTGTATAAGTCACATGTTCGCAGTTACTTCAAAGACTGGCAGAAAGAAAAGAGAAAAAGTACAATATAATTAATAGAGCGATATACTGGATTGAAAAATAAGATATTCCAACAATAAAGATGATACCACTAGTCTTTAGTACCTAGATAGTTTGCCATAGGAATAGGCTCGAGCAATAACTGAAACTATCATTGATCTACTCGTTAATTAAGTAATGGAGCTTTAAAAATATCTCTTCGGTGTCAAATATCAGTTTAAGATAGCAACATGAAAGTAAAACGCTGTTTAAATATTTTATGACAAAAACTAAATATTCAACGGTGTTTAGGTCACGTTATTCCTTGCCCGTCTGAGTATCGACAAAAATTGCGAATCGGACAACAAACTAGAGCGCAAAAAAAAGTGTATTTTGAAATACTACACGTTGATATAAAAACTAACTTACTGTGGTTTAAAAATTAATTAAAAGGAATTTTTGTGATGAAATCACCTTCATCAATTTATTATTGTTACAAGTGTAAAGAAATATGGGAAGTCGAGTTAGGTCTTGTAAGGAGTTTCGAAAAAGGCATATTTGTTTATATGGAAACTTCAAAATTAAGAATCGATAGTAAAATATAAATTTTATCGCTTTTGAGAAACTTTTCCTTCCAAGCTTTTATGAGGGTGTTCTTTTATTCCACATTTCAGCTCTAAAAAGAATGTAATAAAAAGCGTTTTTTTTTGTACTTTTCTTTAACTAAACAGATTTGTTTGATCAAATTGATTTATTCGACAAAAAAATATTTTTATCTAAAATTGATCGAAAATCAAAAAATCATTTGTTTCTTTCTTGAATTTCTATCGAAATCGCACTTTCTGCTAATTGTAAGTGTAGTCAACAGGGCTATATGATCCATATCAACTATTCTGACTTTGTTTACAAGTTTGATTATATATCTACTTAGGAACATCAACAAAAGTTTTAATTAGAAAGCATAAGCCAATAGAATGAACATTGTTGGGTGTGAATGCTAGGTGAAAACAAGAACCGAAGACCTACACTGACACTCTTCAGCATACTTTTACTGCACAGGCTTAATAATTATTAACGAAGTAACTAATTTTTTCATATCTGAAACCATATTATTGTAGTTTGTTGAAGAACTCCAAGCACAACGATAACGGCAAGATATCTCCATACCATGTCTTCTTGATTGCGGACGAAAATCAAACCAATTAGCATGCCGACAGTGTGGGTGAGGGCTGAAATTTTGTCCGCAATTAAGAAGTAGCCATATTCAACAGAATACAACAATGGTTCTAACGAAGAGATTAATGATGAAACATTTCAATTGAATAATTTTGAAATAGATGAAGCAGACGAAGTCTATAAAACACAATTAAAATTAGTTTTGACTTTCAATTAAGCAATAGCTTTGCTTTTATTTATTTCTATTGAGATAAATCAAACATAGCTATCATCTTCTTTCTTTTGTGACAAAGCAGATTGTTATTAAAAGTCGAAAATTATTAATATATAGTTCCCGCTTATTTTTGCATGCTATTAGTAGAAAAATTAATGTTAAATTATAATCAGGTCAGATTGACAGTTCTCAACGATTATTAATTCTTAGAACTTTCAGCTCCAAATATAAACAAACGCAGAGAATGTTGTCTATTCAAGGCGAATTATTGATCAGCAAAAAGTAAAATTAATCGAAAAGAAAGCAACTGTTAGAATATATTGAACTAATAAAAATTTATCCCTTAATGGAAGCCAATTTAAGCTTTGTGACTGACACAGACAACTCAGACGTATTGACATTCACTAAGGACAACGAAAACGATTTTCAAAAACCTGCTAGCATTTATTACATGAGAAAATATACTAATGAAATAAATTCAACAATAGTTATAGCGTTTTTTTAGCACAAACTATAATTGAAAGTATATTTTGGACATTTTCTATTTCCTAAAATTTGTCGTTTGCTCAGATAATTTTCCGTTTGAAGATACGAGCAATTTTCTTTCAGTTTCAACATATGACTATATATAGACGGTCTCGATGAACTATACCAATAAGTTATTTGAAGAAAACAATAAATTTCATATAGAAAATATATCAATCAAAAAAGAAAACGACATTATGATTTCGAAAAATAACAAGATTTATTTTGTACTCTGAAGCTATTTTATTTTTTACATAGACATCATAATAGAAGCCTACAGTTATTAAATATTTTTTCATTTTTTTTAAAGGAAAGATTTAAAAAATCATCAACAATCCATTATCTACGTAAAAGTTTGTTGATGAAAAGATTTTGCTAGGAAATATCCGATCAATATTACCTATCAAACATGTGCTTCATCAAAAAGATATATTAACCAGGTGGCTAATGACGCTTGAATAAATCCCACCAATGAGTCATTATTTCTCCTTGTTTGTTAATGCAGACACCACTATTACTATTAAGTACGTTTTTATTTCATTTTGCTAGAACAGAAAAATATTGTTTCACCTTTGCATATTCACTATTTTTTTTTACACGAGGTAACTCACAACATAAAAACATTTGTTAAGAAGAAAAACAAACATTGAAATATATTTGCAGATTGCATTAATATTCAATGGATGAAATCAACTTAAATCAATTAAATACTAATAATGGTGTTACAAAAGTCGATCCAAAAGAAGAACATTCATTATCATCATCATCATCATCATCAACTTTATTTGTTTTTCAACAATCTTTAAGGCATGGTCAACCCAATGAAACACGTCATTATCAATTAAAAGCACCATTATGTGTATCGCAACGATATGAAGAAGAATTTTTTAATCATGTATGCTTCAAAATTCATTTACAGGGTGTCCGGAAAGTCATTTAACAAAAGTTTTTTCGCATTTCTTTACTATTTCATTTAACATCATCAACAAATGTTTTTTTTTAAATCATAGGGGAATATACCGAGTTTTTATTTATCCAAGTGACTTTTGATAGTATCCTGCGAAACTATTATCTTTGATGAAAATACAAAAACTTTGCTATTTTTGTGAGATACAAATAGAACATTATGTAGCGTTTTTTCTTTAACTATTTAGTTTTCCTGTAGTAGCTATCTGTAAATTTTGCTTCAAAGAAAAGGTATAAAAAATTTTCAATATACATATTCTTGTAGAACTCGAGAAGCTCTATCTAACCGTATGAAAATAACGAAGAAAAAATATCATCAAATTTTGAATTACTCGCATCTCACAAAAATAGCAAAATTTTTGTATTTCGATCAAAGATAATAGTTTTACAGGATACTATCGAAAGTCGTTCGGATAAATAAAAACTCGGTATATTCGCCTACAATTTAAAACAAAATTTGTTGATAATGCTAAATGAAACAGTAAAGATATACGAAAAAACTTTTGTTAAATGACTTTCCAGACACACTGTATATATAGAATTAGTTCGAAACAAAAATAGATTTGTACAATTTTTAGTTTCATATCAATTATTTTGGTGAACTTGAGCGTGAAGGTTTATTTTTAGCTTCTGTTCGATCTATTCGAACAAAACCAGATAAAAAACAGTTACGACTATCATCTTTTTATTCGATGACAAATGATGACCAAAATCAACATTTAATTCGAGCTATTATTCGGTAAGTTGGGTTATTTTGTGTGAAAAAAAATGTATTAATCTAAATTTTCATAAAGAAAAGACCTCAAATCAATCAAAATAGAAAAAAAAAATTGAAAGAATAAATTTGTTATTGTTAGTATTTTTTGTACATCGATATCAAAAACATAAAAAAATAATTTATGTAAATTTCTAAAACTATTTAAATAGTCAATTATCATTATATTTCGAAGATTTCATTTAAATTATTTTTTTTTATTATTATAGTACAATGGATAACAATTATGATGTATCAGGAATGATAAATGTGAAAAATGAAGAAAACATTTTACAATTTCTATTAGACAAAGCTAAATTATCACGTATATGTCATGTTGACCTTATTCATGATATAGAAGTAAGAAAATTACCAAACATAAATATACTAATGTAATTCTTTGAGCAATTAAACGTTTTTAAAGTGGAAGAAAAGTTTTTCTTGTTTGAAAATATTGTCTGATTTGCATTTTATAGAGTACCATCGAAATAAATAACAAATCTATGGCCATAAAAAAATGACTGAAGGGATCGAGTAACCTCTGTTTAGTGTCTTCGTTTTTTTAACATTGAGTAACAATGTCACAAGTCTGTTCTCTATTTACGCAATGTAACATTCTCTACTTGAAAAACTTCTAGATTTTTTTTAATGCTTTTACGTTGCTTCATTAGTCGAAAAAGTAATGTAGAATGACAATAAGTAATCAGTATTACTGCTACAGAGAGAACGAATATCAACTTTTGCTTTCGATTTGATTAGATCACTATGAATATATTTTTTGCAAAGAATTCTTTTTAGATTTAATTAATCATTATCAAGAAACAAAATTCTTTGTGACATTTGTCCGTAACAACTGAAAATAAAAAAAAAATGAAGTGTTTTTTATGTATATAGTTTGTTTTCATGTAGTATATCGTTGCAGAATTTTATTTTAAATTCTAATAATAAAGAATTTCATCATTTAAGATGTAGATATGAAGGTCAGTCTGATGATCATCTACAACATCATCCCACCTCCTGATTGACACCAATTATGAATATATTGCTTATGTAGAAATAGAATTGTAACAACATGGAACTTGATAGCTTCGATAATTCCAATGTTTTTTTTAAAAACAACATACCCGAGAAGATGATTTTCTTATTGAACTAAAACCTTCATACGCTTTGCGTTTGGATAAGAAGTATTCTTGAATTGAAACATTCTTTGTTATAAGTTTTTATCGAAATGAAACTTACAAAACACTTGTATAGAAATGCTTTCTGGTTGTTGTCAATTGTACGATGCATAAATTTTCCTTAACAAACGGAGAAATTTTCGAATCGGACAACTCATTTCGAGGCTTATTTTACACTATTTCTACAAGTAAATGGAACTATAATATACAGAATTTTTATAGAACAGACGATTTTCTATCTGTTTGATATTTACTCTCTTGCATTTGCTATTGTTTTTAAAGATAATTTAATGTAAGTTATTTATTAAGGCACATGAAAAAATTCTTGAATTTGACAAATATAATGATGAACAACTTTTCAATAAAGTTGGTATTGTTTATCAACATTTAAATCAATCAAGTGAAATTGCAATATTAAGTAACGATAAGATGTCGATTGAAATGGAAAATTTTCTAAATTTAATTAGTGAACTTGTTCAATTACAAAATTTTAATAAATATCGTGGTGATCTTGATACAAAAACAGATCAACATGGAACATATTCTTATTTTGCCACATATCAAAATCATCAAATTATGTTTAATGTAGCACCAATAATTCCATCTGATAAAAATGATCTAGAATTTATTCAAAGAAAAAGTTTAATTGCTAATGCATTAATATGTATTGTTTTTCAACAAGGAAGTGGACTTTCATTTCAACCAGATTTTTTTATTGGAAAAGTAACACAAGTCTATATTATAGTACAACCTATGCAAATTAAATCTGATCTTTATTACAAAGTTTGATTTTTCTTATAATCAAAAGATAAAATAATTTAATAAGTTTTAATTTTAGATTGAAATTTGGCGTCGTTCTGACATTGAGCCAATAGTTGATCCATCTGGTGGCATTTTTAAACATGACGAATCATTTCGAGATTATTTTCTTACATTAATTTTGAATACAATGAATACTATTTTAAAAAAAGATTTTTTTCGTAAACGTTTTATTGAACCAACATATCGTTTGAAGAATGAATATCTTAAAAAACTTTCTGAAATGTTTTGTTCTTATTCTAAATATGATTTATCAACATTACGTGGCAATGATGAAAATATACATATTGAAAATTCAAACATAGAAGAAAATATAACGTCTAAAACTCATCGTCTTCGCATGATAACGAAAATGATCGGAAAATTAAATACTAACAATCGATCAAGACAATCTATTTCATGTACAGGAATTACGGACAAAATCAGTGTATCAGACAATAAAATGTCGCCAACAATAATAAAACCAAATCCTTGGATATCATCAAATGACAAAACAAAACAGAGTTCCCCTACGGTTAGAGTTTTATTCTTTTTCTAATATCCATTTAACAAAAAACCTGAATATTAGTTTTATATATAAATATTTAATATAAAATTAATTTTCGTATCTACGTAGAGATTAAATGTTATGGGTCGAAAGTCGACAACTAGAGCCCCATCTCCATTATCACTATTCGATCGTGTCAGTCATCGTGAAGAAGAAGATTCAAAGTCAAAAGAACCATCAAGAGAATCGATGTCATCATTGGTTACAAATAAAGTACTTTCTGTTGGATCGAATCCTGAAATGTAAGAGAGAAAAAACATTGTGTTATAGTTAATGTCATCCATATTTTTGATGAATAACAATATGAGGTTTTGATAATAATCAATATTAATCTACTATTTATTGTTGCAGTGTATCATCATCAACACCAGTCATGAACGAGAACATAGTCCATGAGAACGATGATAACAAAGATTATTCAACTCGTCTTTTTAATAAACGTAATGGTGAAGAACTCAATAAGAATCAACATATAGAGATTAAAATGAACAATTAATATGTGTACTATTTTCATCAAATACTAATGTTTACTTAATGAACATTATTTTAATATCTTTTAAATTTCATTACTTGTCAACTCTTCTTTTGCATCTTATTAAATATTTTGATCATAAAATAATCGGTGGCAGTGGCATAGCTAGGATTTTTTAAGTAGAGGACAGTTTTCTAGGCAAACTATTTTGAGAGATCAGTAGGAATAGGTAATTAAAAACTTCATTGGGCAATAATTTTTAAAAACTTATTTCTTTTATAAAACCGAACGTTTACGGACAAGAACTTGATTATATTATGTCTAAAAAAAAATAGGAATAAGCATAAATAAGTAACAATAAAAGGTGCAAAAATGGTTATAATCCTAAACGCGATCGTCGTTGATGCTTTTGTACGAACAAATAGAAAATTTTCATAGGATGGATTTCGACATTTCTGTAAATGAAAGCAGCTTCAGGTCCATTAAGTCGGTTTTCAACCATTCTTCGTCTAAAATAGGTTTTCATACGCTTGAGTGAACTAATAGGATAGTCACATTTCTCAAATACAATCGTCGAACAGCTCATAGAATTCATATGTTCTGGTCGTAGTTGAGTGAATATTTGTATACGTAAGTGACTAAATACGGAAAAGCATTTGTCAATATAAGCTCTCAGATCATATAGAAAAGGAAGAAATAGTTGACTGCGGTAAAACTGTTCTCGATCAGGACTTTGTCGGTCATACCATCGTTGATATAATCGTGATGACGCTGGCTGTATCAATAATTCTTTCGCAATTTATTTGACTTATTCAAACACTATGTTTTTGAAATATTCAGCTATATTGGCTACTCGTGCGACGAATGTCTCGGGTAATCATGATGTCTGATGATGACTGATACCAAAATCGATAGTAGACGTTTCTAGCAGACGACTGAGTGGAGAGATTTCACCGAGGAGAAAGCACGTAATCTATGTAGAAACGATTGTTTCAAAAGGATTGATCGAATGAAAAAGTTGTTCTGCAATTGAGTCTCCTTCGGTGACAAGGAAGTGAAGTATATTCGAATATTTATCTCTCTAATAAAAAGTTGCTTGATTAACTCTCAAGTTAAAAACATATATCAAGAGTAACCATTTTAAATGGACAAATTAAGTGACACTGAACACTTAGGTGGGCCATTGAAGAAGGTAGTAACGTAGTGGATGATGCTGAACATGTTTCGAATAAACTGAGATGTGCATCAGCCGATAAGAGAAATGCGTAAGAAGTATGAGGTGCAGTGCATATAGTCGGCTTCAAAAGAGAATCGTTTGATGATAGTCTGACAAACATTAAAAATATCGGACATCAGGACAATCTGTTGTATGCTTGTTCGATTCAGTTTGTAAATGAAAGTTGAAACCATTTTACACATGACAACATGTGATCGGCAATAGCCTCAACAAGAAAATCTTCACGAATCCCATGTAAATGTGGACCGACATGTTGGATACGAAAGCACAGTTATTCTGGGTGTGGCTGAGAGATTAAAACTTCTACTAGTAAAATCTTCTGTTCCATGGACACCTCACACCTACATCTCATAAATCTGTAGAAAAATTCATCCATAAACGGGTATGACAGAAGACAAATGATGACGAAATTTCACATTCAATTGAAAAAATACCCATCAATCATTTAACTTCGAAGTAATGGCACAAGACTCTAGTTTTTTCTCTTTTTCAGCTAAAAGGGTGGGTGTGGAGTGTGGCTTCGGGTGTCGGTGGGTGTGGGTGTGGGTGCGGGTATGAGGTGGGTGTGAGTGTACAGAGAATACCCACTCTCACACCCACACGGGTATTACTAATTTATGCTAACAGCACAAACACCCAACTTTGTAAAAACGCATATAGGTCATCTTCACTAACACCCACATCTTGGCGAATTATGTTCGCAAACACTCACATTGTCCGACTTCTAGAAAAAATAAACCATCAACAAAGACTAAAAACTGACCCCCTTCAACACTAACACCCAGGATCTCTTTTTTTGTCCACGCAAGCATCCTAACTTGTCTTGACAAACACCCACAATACTTTATAATCTACATTCTGAGACGAATAAGTACTATCCCCGAATAACTTTTCTTGAGAAAATTTTCTCTGGAAACATGTCAAACGGACCAAAATATAGCTATAGATACATACTAACACGTAAAATCTTTCTTAAAGTTCACGCAAACACTCCAAGTTCTCTTGACAAACACCCATAGAACTCTATAATCTACATTCTCACACAAATAAGTGCTATCCTTGTATCACTTTTCCTGATAAACTTTTCTCTGGAAACATCTCTTCGGCCTTTGCCCTATCAACAAAAGTCAGTTTTCGTCAGAAAAATAAAAATTGAGATAAATGCATAGGAAGATAGCCCATATTGTGTTCTTCCAGAAACAGTATGATTTTTAAATCGATACCCCTTTTTTGGTCAAACTTTTGATGATTTCTGTTATTTACTTCTTGAAAAACAGGCTTTTTTTCCAGACGGGGAGATGTAAGGGATGTTCCCAGAGAAAAGTTTATCAGGAAAAGTGATACAGGGATAGCACTTATTCGTGTGAGAATGTAGATTATAGAGTTCTATGGGTGTTTGTCAAGAGAACTTGGAGTGTTTGCGTGAACTTTAAGAAAGATTTTACGTGTTAGTATGTATCTATAGCTATATTTTGGTCCGTTTGACATGTTTCCAGAGAAAATTTTCTCAAGAAAAGTTATTCGGGGATAGTACTTATTCGTCTCAGAATGTAGATTATAAAGTATTGTGGGTGTTTGTCAAGATAAGTTAGGATGCTTGCGTGGACAATAAAAGAGATCCTGGATGTTGGTGTTGAAGGGAGTCAGTTTTTAGTCTTTGTTGATGGTTTATTTTTTCTAGAAGTCGAACAATGTGAGTGTTTGCGAACATAATTTGCCAAGATGTGGGTGTTAGTGAAGATGACCTATATGCGTTTTTACAAAGTTGGGTGTTTGTGCTGTTAGCATAAATTAGTAATACCCGTGTGGGTGTGAGAGTGGGTATTCTTTGCACACTCACACCTACCTCATGCCCGCACCCACACCCACCGACACCCGAACTCACACACCACACCCCACCCACACCAACCCTCACACCCACACGCACCCACAAATAGAGATCTCAAGCTCTCTAATGACGTTCGAGCAAGCATTAGGAATGTGTCATTGTCGAGATCTTCACGTAACAGAATATAGGCTTTAGAGTCCAATGTCGAGAAAGAGAATAAAAATTTCGACTGATTGCCATAAGAAGCTCTGCATCTTAATAACGGTGAAGAGTGAAAATGAGTGTTTTCTTTTCATTCTCACCCTTGCTCACAAAACATTCACTGACTTGATAAAGGTTCCATATAGTACTCTGTGGGCTGTATACTGGTATATATTTTGCTTTTCTGTTGCTTCTGACTGAAAATTTGTTGAGAGAAAATACTGTACATAACATGGATGATATATGTTGCCGTGTCAAAAGGACAAGAATTTACAGATCCTCTCATAAAGAAATCATATAATGCTTTCGTATATCATATATGTTTAACATAGAATTCTCACAACTTCGATGTTTCGTTTGAATTTTAACATAGCTCGTCTATGGAAAAATCGAGCAATAATGAATGGTTTTGAGAATTTTTTTTCCAATATTTTTGTGATGATACAGACGAGTTGCAAATTATCAATTCATTTGAACAAAGCTCTCTGTTCGTCCAGATTAAAACGGTTAGTATCATACCAAAGAAGGATATGATATTTTACTTTGTATGCATTCCATGTTTTGTACAAGTCAAGGGTGGGAATGAGGTGTAGGTGTATAGCGAATGGCTGTTTTCTTAACCCACAGCTTCACCTACACCCACTCTCAAGGTATCATTGAATTAGATATGACGCATCATTAAATTTTTACGATAGACAAAAATCTTTCAAGAATCTCAATAGATTGAATTATTTTCAAAAATATTAGAGCGATTTGTGTCTTATATTAAAACCGACCAAATAATCAAAATGCATTGATGTTTTACAATTTTTCGAAAGACTTCTAGAATAGTAGTTCTTGTAAAACAATAAAACGTCAGGTTTATTAAAATCTTCTTGTTATCGGACAAAGAAAAGATCTTATTGAACAAAAAAAAATAGATAAGAGTTCCATGATTATCAAACGACAAGAAAAGCTTTGCATCAGATCTGGTTTATATATTGAGTGAAAAGAAATGTTATAACTTCAAAGGAATATGTTTTTGATTGTTGCTTCAATCTATGATATTAATTGAACGGTCGACTATTGCGAAGGTATCTGTGACGATTCGCCAAATCGTTGTTGAGATCTCCTTTCCGTTTCTTGCTTGATCATCACCTGTTGAACATGTGTTGGAAGACCGGGATTGAGACTCAAAGCGTAAGGTAACAGTGTTTTCTGTATATCTCCAAAATCAACCATAATTTTGATGAACATTGTGTCGTCTCGTACATAAGGATTTCCTTCCTGTTGAATGATTTCCAATGGGAAAAATTTTGGAATACCACTCGCTATATTCATATCTGATCGTGGTCGTTGAAAACTACTCGATCTAATGTCTGGTCTAAATGAATCCATAATATGTTGCTGTGCAGATGTTTGGTCGTACAAACAATATGTGACTTTATAATTGAACGGGAACTTGAGAATCGGATCACTCGAACTTCGCATAAGCACAAAAAAGAGCGACATATGTGTGCGACGAGCGTTTCCATCACCATTCAAATAAAGACGCGCTCTCATTTTATAGCCAGTTGGAGATGAGTAAAATGGAGGTGAATAGATTGATGTTTGTCTTTCAGACTGTGCATCCCCTAGAAAGTAAACAGGAAAATGCTTGAGAAGAGTAGAAGTGTTAAGAGATTTAACGGACCGACACTATTTACAAGTCATTTCGTCAAGACATCAATAAATGATGGTCATATATTGTATTCCAGAAGTAAGTATCTATGACGATGAATATAAAATTCGATCATATATGAGACGAATACAAACCCATGTGTACCGTTTGAATAAAAAACATAACTAAGCTTTTATGACGTAGATTTCTCAGTCAAATTCAAGATTTTTTTCGGAAAATATCCTTCACAACTATCGCTAGTTTGGTTGCCAACAGTCAGCCGTCTAACTATTGTTGTTTGCTCGAGTATGTGAAAATAATATTGGGTATGGATGTGGGAGTGGTTGTGGGTATGAACGACAGTATTGTTTTGATGAACACTCACACTCCCAATCACATCCACACCCAAATTTAATGTTTAAAATTTCAAGTTCTGCAAAAAAGTCACCATACAAGTAGATTTTCTTATTAGAATTGAATAATTTATGATGCCGCTTAGGCCCATTCTCTATCTGTTTCTATAAAAGAGACTTATCCTACTTCCTTTAGCACATTTACGATGACTAGGTGATTCTTAAAAATAAATTTAAAATACCAATATTTCGGAGTTTTGGCTATTTTTAATAGTGGTAGACAGAGTACTAACAGTCTTCTGAATCTTTCTAGTAGCATTATCTACTACAATATGTAAAATCATTCGACTCATAAATGAAATCTTCAAAAAGTTGAATCCAAACGGTACGGATGGCTTGCAATCATCTCATTTGTATTATTTTTCGATGTTAAAGAATCCAAATAATATCTTATTCTTTGACTACTTTTATGATTGAGCGTGAGAGTAATTGTTGAACTTACTCATTTTCTCGTTAAAATTTGTAATTTTCCATACCAATGTTCCATCATATGAAACGTATCGCAAATCATCGATTTTTTCCTGCATTGATACTAAATCTTGATAGAGAATGTCTTGATTATGTTTTACTCCTTCCAAGAAAGCATTTGATTCTTCAATGGATAACTTAAATTTAGAAATCTCTTCCGTCAATTTTGGAAGTGTTGCCTGAATGTGAAGTGATTCAATGATCAAACGTTCTTGATCCTTGTCCAATGTTTTAATAGCACCTGACAAGATCTTGAGCATTTCAGAAACCTCTTGTGATTGATCTGTGACTAGATTACAAGTTTCTGCAGTTGTTACTTGAGAATAGTCATTATCTATAAGTCTATCGTTTGGTTGTAATAACATCTGACGAACAAATTTCATTATGGTGTGTTGATGCTGTTCACTTATATAATGCTCTTCCTTTCTGGCACGGATAATCTTGAAAACAAAAGTCCTCACATATCGCTTTCATCTAGAGAATATTCATACTTGCTCATTACAACCAAAGTCTTTCAATATACAATCGACAATCAATTTTTGGCATTCAGAAACTTTATGTTCATTGCATTTGTTAACCGAATTGAATTCTTTATCACAATATTCGCATTTTGGATTTGCATGAGATTCATCAAGATGTTTCTTTGAAATAAAAGAATAGAGAATACAGAAATAAAATTAATATATAATAAATTACTTGATAATTATTTAAGATACCACTCCATTCGCAAAAAGCACAATCAATAGGTATTGATTTCATATCATTTTGAAAACCTCGATCAAACAGCATCTACAAAAATGAAATATATATTTCTTCTTAATGATGAAGAGATATTTGACCTCGACTCGTAATGTTTCAAATTGACATTGTGGACATTTTATTGTCACTCTTTAAAAAGAACAATGACGAATTATCCTAAAAATGAATAATAAAACTTACGCATGTTGATCATCAACACATGATTGACACTGTCGATGACCACATTTACTCCATTGTATAGGATTCCGTAGTATCAATAAGCATACAGGACAAATATACTTTGTATCAAGAAGATGTCTATTTTTTGCATCGATGCCTACCATTTTTTATTGCAAAATTAATATAAAACGAATGTTCAATTTCAGTTAGGAATAAAATCGATTTCTTTTTTATCTGTGTTTATTTGTCGTTTTCTCTTTAGATTAATGAATCAATAGATGAAAATTTTCAAAATCGTCAAAAGAAATGAAACTATCTAGAATTAAAAAATTAATATTAAAATTCACAAAAGATTTCAATTTTTCAAAATGAAAACTAGTGAGGAGTTTGAAATAGTAAGGATGTAGCAATGTCAATACCAAAGACATTAATACCATTTGATATTGATTAGAGGTTTACATCTCACATGTGCACTTAAATGAGCACTAAATTAAGTGTGAACGCTTCTGTTGTCTCGCATGGTAGAGCAGGTTACAGTTATTCAAAAATTATCTCTCCATGTAAAAATAACGAGTTGCAGTATATTGGCGAGTGTATCAAACGAACGGCCATTTCTTCAAAAATACCGATTCTTTCTGAGGCTGGAGGGTGTGGATGTAGATGTGCCTCAAGAGGAGATTCACGCAATCACATACATTACCTATACCCGACACCCACACCCATGAAAGTAGTATTCCGGCAAGAAAGTTATCGTACCGGAAACGACATTTTCCTGACGATTCTAGTACCTGGAAACAAAACATAACTACATCGTATTCAAGCGGGAAAACACGGGATCACAACCGTTTTTCACTGGGACCACACCGTAGTTTACCTACGTCACAAAAAGCAGTAAACCGTTTCCATCGAAAATCCTCACAATATCCTTCCCATTCGAGAGTCTCTCACATCGTCTTACATATTTTCCAGATTAAGCATCAGCAACAGAAAAAAACATCTTTAAAAGCTTCCTCACTTCAAACATCGTTTTCAGTCTTTAAAAAACTTTGAAAATAAAATGTGACTTTTTGAAAGATATCTACAAATTTTCTTCTATCAAGTAGCCATGCCACGCTTTGAAAAACGCTGGAATAAGCTCTGATCCTTAGAAAGTTTTGTTGGGATGTGTCTCTATCAACACGCTCAATGGCGTGTCCGCAAATACCTTCAAAATAAGTTACCTGTCCAAAGCTCTTCTGCACTTATTAAAATCGAACGACAAATTCAGTCCCAAAATCACGTTACTCCTTTGGTGCTGTGGTACTAGTCATAGTGAAAAGAGGGGAAGCACAACATCTATGTTGTCCATACACTTTACAATTTGGAGAAACATCAAATCAGCAAAATATATTTCTCAGACGCATTTAAAATGTTTTTGAGAATGATTTAGAGTCGTAAAAAAGTACATGACTCACCCGATACTCTTCCACTAGTGTAACAAGGGGTACAGTACGACATCTATTTTGTCCTTACACTTTACATTTTCGAAGAACATGAATATTGCGAAATAACAGATTCTATTTCGTCTTCGTTTCTTTTTCTTTTCTTTTCTTTTCTCCGTTTAGTTCTTCTGCCATATGTAGATGACGTGTTTTGATATGCTTTCTTATCTTTCCTTTTCTGCGCTCAACGTATATTCCATATCGTTCTTTCCTTTGATCTGATTCATGTATGCTCCATATACTCTCTCTTCTCTTGACATAGCTGTGGGTGTGGGTCTGGGTCTGTGTATAGATATGGATGGGGTGTGTGGTTGTAGGTGTTGTTTTTTATTTCACTCCCACCCCCACTCACACCCTATGGGTATCCGCGTTAGTGGAGAAAATGCCTATACCCATCATAACTTAGATCCATCCCGCATCTGCGAACAAGTGCTCTTGTCTGTAACTGCTTGGCTCTCATGACAATACTGATGCACGTGCGTCACAATTAGTCACAATGACGTATCCAAAGTGAAGAGTATTACATAACGATAATCTCTCATTCAAGACTTTTCATAGCTCTAATGAAAGTTTATCAATCATTTAGAAAGAAATTCCTATTTTTCAGTTGTTCGATATTGTAGACATAATAACCAATTCAACATATGGAGAATATAATGACAGCCTCATGTAAATATACATTTAATGATACAAGGAAGTAATTGTTCAAAGAGATAAATATATCAGTTCTAAGAATCTGGAAAAATACAAATATGAGATAATTAATGACAATATATTCTACTGTTAGATGGTGCACTTACTCGCATGCTTGATCACTATATTTCAAACATAACATTGTAAATATTCTGTCAAAGATCAAAATACATATAATTCGAGGAGTTTTCGTCTGAATCGATGATAATATGTGCATCAGAATAATAAGCTTTTCTTTTTTTCGGTGAAAAGAAAATTTGATCATCATTATAATAATTCCATATAATAAGATCGAAAAGTGATACTTGTGAAATGAAAGAAATATCATTAGTGTACTTCCGTGATAGAGTGACTGCTTCTGTGTCTACTGTAAACAAACGTCAGTTGTCTGGATCTTTTCGTTTTCAAGCTATCGAAGAAGATTGCTATGATCATTATTAAGTTGAATAGAAAATAGTAACTTGCATTATGTAGAATCAAATAAAGAATCAATGTTCCAATTCTTGACTTTTCCAAGTAAATATTAACTTCTAATGCGCGCCAGAGTATAATCCCAAGTTTTGTATATTGAACCATAATCACAGAAAATTCATCAATTCTAAATAAAATAGTACAGCAGTTATTCTTAATGAATCAATAAATAATTTATTTATTAACTATTTTACTGTGATAATGTATGATCAAAACTATACTTATCTCTTTTTAATAATAAACAAGATTTAAAAATTATTGGAGAAAAAAAATCCAATAACATTGTTTTCATTTTTTTTTATCTCTATTTAATTTGATTGATGAGAAGTTCAAACATAGAAAACATTTCTTGAAATTCTGAATATGAATGTTAATGTAACATTAAAATAACAATAAACTTTATTCTAAAATAATAATAGATTGTTTTCTTTGAACAACAAATAAAAAGAAATCATGCAAAAGCTTTCTTGATGAAATCTAATCATTTTTGATATCAGAAATCGTAAAGTGTGTGCCATCACTATTGGGCACTTCCATGGGAAGTATACCATAAAAAACACAAAGATCTCAGAAAATGTTTTGAGATATCAGAGCTTGTAGAGCTTTTTTTGCTGATCATTTTGATAAAAAAAAAATTTTTTTTTCATCAAAAAATAACGGCGCTAGGGTGAAAATACTGAAAGATGAAAAAGTCGTATCGGTTACTTGTTTTTTGCAGTATTTTGACTCTACCAGCGTTATTTGTCAATGAAATAGGGCAAAATTTTATGTCAAAATGATCAGAAAAGAAAGCTCTACAAGTCCTGATGCCTCAAAACATTTTCTGAAATCTTTGGGTTTATATGTCTGGCTATCTATGACTATCCATGTTCAAAAAGTTGATCACCATATAACTCAAAATGGCTACATTCCTGCAAAATGGGACTTTGTGTGTTTTGTAGCGCGGAGTCTGCTCTACAAAATCCTATACACGGCAATTGAAACACGCCGACAAAATAGTGCGTAAAATTCGACAAAACACTAAGAACTATGATTATTTCGGAAAAAGAAGATCATTTATGCATATTGCTTTGAAATTCCATTTGTTTGAGCTGAAAATTATAGTATGGTGACATCTGAGAAGTCGAAAGATGAAGTCGAAGAAGATTTCTAAGTCTATTTTGCCGCAATTGAGAGTATCTGAACAGTGATTTCGATGAAAACGTTTTCTAACATGTTATTTTGTTGAGTGAACGATGTGTAATTTGAATTTATATAAAAGAATTTTACAGTAGAGAGCCGACTCTAACTCTGATCCGTTAAACAGTGACATTATATGGAAATATGATTCATCTTACTCTTATGGTTATGACATGCTTGTATGATATGGCGTATAGGACGCATGACTAGTGGTATTAACTACGTAGATTCATTCAGCTAGCAAAAGCTTTCATCGAAATCACTGTTCAGATACTCTCAATTGCGGCAAAATAGACTTAGAAATCTTCTTCGACTTCATCTTTCGACTTCTCAGATGTCACCATACTATAATTTTCAGCTCAAACAAATGGAATTTCAAAGCAATATGCATAAATGATCTTCTTTTTCCGAAATAATCATAGTTCTTAGTGTTTTGTCGAATTTTACGCACTATTTTGTCGGCGTGTTTCAATTGCCGTGTATAGGATTTTGTAGAGCAGACTCCGCGCTACAAAACACACAAAGTCCCATTTTGCAGGAATGTAGCCATTTTGAGTTATATGGTGATCAACTTTTTGAACATGGATAGTCATAGATAGCCAGACATATAAACCCAAAGATTTCAGAAAATGTTTTGAGGCATCAGGACTTGTAGAGCTTTCTTTTCTGATCATTTTGACATAAAATTTTGCCCTATTTCATTGACAAATAACGCTGGTAGAGTCAAAATACTGCAAAAAACAAGTAACCGATACGACTTTTTCATCTTTCAGTATTTTCACCCTAGCGCCGTTATTTTTTGATGAAAAAAAAATTTTTTTTTTATCAAAATGATCAGCACAAAAAGCTCTACAAGCTCTGATATCTCAAAACATTTTCTGAGATCTTTGTGTTTTTTATGGTATACTTCCCATGGAAGTGCCCTATTAAGACCTCTTCGAAAAGAGTGGGTATGGGTATGGGTGTGGATGTGCGTTATTTTTCTTTAATCATCCATACCCACAGCTACACCCATACCCATAAGAAGCTAATGATATATTCTCTGTTTCAAAATATAGTATTATTCACTGGTTTTTTAATGATGCTTGAGTGTTTGAAACAATCAAGGTCGATCTTTTGCTTATCTTGACACGTTATTTGTTGTTATTTTTTCATTAGTTTTTACAGCAACTTCCACTCAAAACTAGACCAACAGCAGCTTGAAGAGTCCTATGTGCATCATGAAATTTTCAGAACTGTTCTTCTTTTGCTCGAACTTAATTTTCAAATAAACAATATCACAATCCTTAAATTTCAAAATGAATATAGAACTTTTCAGGCCAATCTTTGATGTCGTTTGAGTGTACATCGTTGTAAAAACTACTTGAAATACGACGACAATTAAGGTACCAGTTTGAGAACTGTCACGAAAAAGTTCTTCGATCACAATGAATTTTATGTAGATAGACATCTCTCGGCTTGCCATATCAAAGCGACAAAAACTTGATTTTGATAGCTTTAAACACTGGAGAGTTATTCAAAAAACAGTGGATTACACTATATTTTGAAATGGATGGACTATAAAATAAATTTTTATTGAGCATTTATGGGCTGCCTGCTATTAGATGATAATTTCATCTATATCATTTTCGGCTACACATATATTTACCAGAAAAAAAAATTAATATTAATCTTAGACTAGAGTAATGAGCTCGTCCATTGATAAATTATTTATTGCTAACCGTAGTAATAATTAAGTGAAAAAACACCAACATCGAAGTTATAACTTTGTCCTAAACGTTGACATCTTTACAAACTTTCTTGCTGTTGCAAATTCAATATGACGTATATACTTATATATACTCCAAACATGACGTGCAATGAAAATTTATTGAAATTTCTTTATATACAATAAGGAAGAAATGACGTCCATCAGCGTGACATTGCAAAAATCTAGATAGTCTATTAATTGAGTGATGATGATAGCACTGTTTGTATTAGTCACTATTTACATAATGGAAGGTGCTAGATCAATTTGAACGAAATATTTTTTTTTCTAGCTGGAGCCGCTTGACGCAAATCGAGTCATTTTCTTTTCTTCAAGGTTCGAAGGAATGCAAGTGAAAAATAAAACCACATGACTCGAATGTTTTTGTCATTTCTGTATGTCTCCTATAGTATGTAGATAATATTGATTAGAACAACTGAAAGAAACAAAGCTTTTCACTGCAGCTCCTTCGCAGCTGAAATGTGAAACTCATATGTGTTCTTTCATCTCATTATTGTCATCTTCATAGGCCATGCTACATCCATAGATAATTGCTTATGCTTTCTTACATGTTTTTGTACTAATGTTCTGTTGTATTTACTCTTGTGTTTTATGAGGCATATGCTATTAATTTTTCTTTTTTTTTTACGTTCTTTTCTTTTGATGTATCTCTCTTAAGGAGACCATAGGTGAGTGAGAGAATATGAAAGAGAAAAAACACTTCAGAGGAAGTGCATACTCTGCTCAAGTTCGTATGTTTTTGTGTTTCGAGGAAGTGTTTTCTTTTGAGTTTCGAAGAAATACATGATAAATGAAGATATAACAATCATACTAAATAGAAAATACTTGAAGCAAAACATTTTTCGCAGTTTATTTGTTTTCCAAGATGATCGACTATCACAGAGAAGGTTTCTCTAACTTATTTCTTCATTTCAAACAGGGTATGTGTGTGAGTGGGAAAACAGAACACACACTCACACTCACACCCTCATGATTAATAGATAGACTTGTTCATGTGTGAACGCCAGTTATTCAAGAATACGATTATTCAATACAAGAATTATGGATTCAGTTATCATTGAATGCAAGTCCAAAACAAGGAGAAGATTTTTTACTGATTTTTTTGACGTCTCAGTAACAGAGAATTTGATTATAAATGCTTCACGGGACTCGATGTAAGTATCAAGAGCAAGCCGCACATTCGATATCGTTGAGATTAAAAAGCTAGGTGTGAATGAGAAAGCTATACTCTTTGTTACACTAAGGGTGACGTCTACACCCTGTTATTCATCGCTCAAAACCAAATGGTCCGATTTCATTTTCTTCATTATCTTTTGTAGGGATATCGATCAAAAAACTAATAGAATCGTGTTAAAGAATTCAATATTTATCAACTGCAACGATCAATCGTCGCTTCGCTTTCTATTTAAGACAGTTAGAAATACAATTGATAAAAATGATGAGAGCCATTTCCTCACTTATACGCTTCCACCGAGTCATAGTGTCATATTTTGAGTCAATGACATTTTAATTATTACCATCATGCACTCTGGTAAATTTTGCATAAAGTTGATTGTTGTGATATTCTTCCCATAAACTGTTACCCTTGTCTATAAAGTAACCATTACGATGATGATAACGGTAAGGTGCATCCCAATAGCCATTTTGATTACCAGCAATTAGAAACATTTCCTTCGGTTTGTCAGCATAAGACCAATGAACATCTGTATTTTTTTTATAGAAATAAACAAAGATATTTCTTGACGAATCAAAAATTTTAACATCTCCGGGAAGAAATTTTTCGGAGTTTAATTCAACTTGTTTTGTATCTACACATTTTAATTGAATTACTTTTGCATCATGCATAATATTCTTGACAATATATCCACTGTATGGATAAAATAAAACTTCTTGTTCGTCTGGATATTCCGAATACTTCGCAATATCAGCACGATACGTCCAATCATCTATTGATGCTTCGATTTCAAATATATAAGCACCAAAGCCATGTGCTACATCTTTATTTCTTGACGTACATGTAAACGTTGGCCATAAAAATTGTAAACCTACTTTGTATTCTTGCTTAACATGGTCACTTGATATAGATAAACCACGGTAAACTTTTAATGATTCTTTTTCATTATTATTTCGAATTGCCATTTTTAAACTATTGATAAATTGTACATTGTTTTTCAATACTTCATAATCATCATTAAGAAGAGCTGTATTAATAATATGATAATATTGCCCTTCTTCTTTTGTCCATTTTGAAAAAACTTCATTTTCTGCATCACATGTAACATTGATTTCAATTATTTCACGATAGCATGGACGACGAAATGTTGGTAAAAGGAAGCGTGATGTTGCACACGAAAACTTTTCGACATTACGCTGTGATGTTGCCATATTGGAATCGTTTGGATTGATTTGTATATAGATTGATTCTGAAACACATATTGGTTAAATGGATGCTTGTTGTGCAACTAGATGTAATACAGATGCCATATAGGATGGGTGTGAGTGTATGTGTATCCCTGAGACTGCTCGCATGGCACGGCTATCAGAGGACAGGGGGAGTGCTCGGAAGCGACTTCTAAATGTCGAAAAATATCTGTCTTCTCAACGAATCTCAGAATAATTTGTAATCAATCCCAATTCTTCCTTTCTCTTACAATCCGGCCGCTTGATCACATCCCTATAGTGTTTTTGTGTGTGAAGAAAAGGCCCTCATCCACACAAAATGTAGGGTAGAGCTGATGGATCCCCAACAGTGCAGAATTTTGAGAATGCTACATCTAAAAGTTCTAAATACTTTAAACAGGAACTACAGAGTATAGAATTTTGAGCTGAATTTTGAAGATAAAGCTTTCTGGGAAATCTGTAATTCTCTAATGAACTTTGACTAAAACTTATATCTCTCAATCACACCAAAATATTAGCAAATATTATCTGAATTTGTTCTTCTCTACAGACATCCTATTTATGGATAAAATAAATAATGAGAATGATCAATGATGCTTCCGTCCTATAAAGAATGTCTAATAGGTTTTGATTCCTTCTAGTCATATATTCCTTTCCTATGCATTTTTTCTTGATAGAAAAGACTAATATTCACAGCATATATACTGGACATCTCGATCTACTCTACGTTAAAATTTCAGCTATCTTCTCTTATAATCACAGAGATACAAGTAACTTGAAATTTACAGGAGTGTTTTGAAATGATGGGTAAGCCAGAAATACAAAATGCAGCCATTTACTCTGGCTCATCCGTTATTTGAAAACATTGCTATAAATTGTATATCTGTGATTATAAGAGATAGAAAGTTAAGATTCTAGCATAGGATAGATCTAGATGTCTGTATAAATAATGTGAATAGTAGCCTATTCTACCATTAAAAAATACATAACAGAGGAATATGACTAAAAAGAATTAAGATTTATTAGATACATTTTATCTCTTCTTTTTCTTGAACAAATGCTCGATACTGTCAATTAGTTGTCTTGGCACTGACTACAACTGTGAGAATTATTTTTGAATTAGTTGATTAGAAATATAAACAACGTCGAATTTTTCCACAATGCTCTTTGAAGGTACAAAATAGAAGTTGATGCATGGAATTGCATCTTTTGGAAAGAATTTTCTCTATGGAAACAGAAGTTTTTCTTTTTTTCTTTCTTATGTTCGTAGTCTTATATTTTGTAGATGCTGTTTTAGATATAAGGCAAAGAAAATTCAATATCAATATGCTACATGAGTTCAGCCGAACACATGGTAGAAAACGAAAGAGAGAAGAAAAACCAAGCGGAGACAATAATTTTACCTTGCTACTGTTAGAGAGCACTCGAACACAATATTTCTTTTCATTTTTTTATTTTTCTTCAAATTTATTGTGTAAGCACTCGTCGTCTTTCTGTTGTGCGTTCTCCACTCATATCCATGGAGATCAATGGAATTTTCTCTTCTCTCCTTTATTTTTTCTTTCTTGAGAATTTTGAACGATTTTCAATTGTTTTCTGGCTCCAAACTCAATTCCATTTAGAAGTAAAAATGCTGGATATCATCTTCATTGATAGTCCAGATCATCATAATATCCTTCTCTCGATACCATATGTCTTCGTTTTGTTCTTCTCTTTCCCTTTTCTATAGTGACTTATCTCTTATGTGGGATATTGTTGAGATCTAGACATACATAGATATAGCTAAAGCTTTCAATAATAACATTGGTTAGTCAAGCAGCAAAAAAGAGATTTCAAATCTATCATATTAATAATTACTACGGTAAAGAACTCTTTGTAACACTGGTGTCAAGTATGAGTGTGAGCTATCGTATGGATGCAGAGAAAATATAGTGATATACCCTAACACTCGTTCATTGGAAAGAAGGAATCAATCTTTTTTTTTAATTTCTCTGAGTTCTGGGCATATATGTCTATATGTGATGTTAGAGTCTCTCGGACGATTGTGAAAAATCAGAGAGATGCATTGATACAAAGAAAAAATTAAATGAACCTTCTGTACCTAGGCACCACTCATATAACCCACAAGAACAACGAAGAAATGCAGAAAGAAAGCCTTCCGAAAGACTTATAAAAGAGTATGTGAAGGTGTTTACATAGAGTGTCAGGGTGGGTGTGGGTGTTACTGTTCTAAGCAACACGTCCATCTTCACACCCACACCCACACCCTTGTCCTTGAACTGGTTTGTTGTTTTGTAAATAGATAGTATCAATATATCATTCTGTACTCATTTGTTTATTTATTAAATAATTTTTTTAATGTATTGATGAAATCAATGTTCGTCTTCTCTAGAAATAAGCATAATTGAAAAAATTGTTAACTCAAACATTCTAGAATATTCTAATGATAAAAAATTCCTGCTTGTCTTTGCTTAAACTTAAATTTGCTTACCAAGGAAGCGATATTTACCTAAAAAAAAGATGTCACAGTATATACGGTGTCGCAAAAGTCTCTTTATAAAATATTTTTCGTATATTTTTATATTTTTATAAATGATAGATCCATCGATTGAGTTTTTCTTTATAAAAGGGTGGGTGAGGGTTGAAATGTGTGAGAGTGGCTTTTTTCTTAACTCACACACTCACACCTATGATCTCAGCAGCTAACGATGACTCCATAGATTATTTTAGTTCTCATATGATACATGGTGACTTGTACAAATGAATTTTCATTTTTTGTTTGAGAAAGATATGAACACCGAGGCGAATATATTTCAACTTGTACAGAATTGAATAAATATCACTTCTTATAATAAAAATATCCAATACCACATAGAAAAAACATCTAAAATACGTATAGGCACTGTTTTTTCATTTGTTTAGAATACATCATGTGACATCATAAGGCAGAAAAAAAGATGTTCCACTTATTTTTGTCGCCTAAATGACATCGAAAAAAGGAAATGAAAGAACACAAAAAAAATTATTTTCTTATTATCTTATTGAAGTTATTCTTTATTTTCAGATTAAGGCATATTAAATGAACAGACGATTTTAAAAGTCAGATGATTAAACTGACATCGATAGGAACAACAGGCATAAGAAATTGAACATTTCACATACTTTTATAAGATAATGTAAAATCAAAGTTTAAATTTTCTTTTTTAAATATCATATTTTGTTATTCAAAGTTGTTTGGACATATTACCGAATGAATTGATTTTGTTTATTTCTTTCTATTTAAAATTGGATGTAATTATTCAAGAATTTTTCACTCTTAACCCTACGTTTTCAATCACTCACTTTGGAATTTTCTCGTCATCTTGTTTTACCTGCTGATATAGAGTCAAATTGAATCGATAAGTATATGTTAATAATCAACGATGAAATTCAAAAAATTAAACTAAGTATTAATCTTATAAAAGCGGTTTTCTTTGGTAAATATTCTTATCCAAATCTTTGTTCGATCACATTGTATTCAAGTATTAAATGACAGGTTGAATATATCATTCAAGATGCGTCTTCTGCATTCGCTATTATTCCTACATTAAAAGTGCGTAAAAACTGCTCTTTTGAGAAAATTGCAAGAGATTTTTCATGGATACTCAATTCCAATCACGAGAAACAGATTACATATATTCTACACCGGTAGAAATAATTGATTATTTAAGTATTGATATTTTTCATTTGATTATTTTTCAGAAAACAGAAACTATTACAAATTATATGTTGAACGACAAAGGTAGTATTTTACTGTGTTCAGCTATTCGACGTTTATGCATTTTTCAATGTGATGGGAATGATTTATTAAAGATTTATGCTTTACTGCTCCACTTGACGTATCTCAGAGTCGGACATCAAGATTCATACAGATATAAATTGAATTCAATTATTATGATCATTCCAATCAATCCATATACGTATCCGATTGAACTATATACATTATATTAATGGATTTAAAAATTTTTCATAATGTAAAATTACATATTGATCATTAAAAATTCTTTCGTAGACGACTGAAACTTGATATGAGAGGAGATTTAATGATTAACGGGCAACAATTAGAAGGATTACTCGCATCATGTGAAAATCTTGAAATTTTTTTATTCATAAATCAATATCAAATGGAAGATGTTAACATGTCGAATTTAGTACGTTCATTCCAAAGTGGATGGTAACTCCATAATCGACACTCACCAGTACTTATTCATTAAAACAGTTTTGGTCATATTTTGTTAGTCTCTATGCCTTGTTCTTTTTCTAATATTTCCAAATATTTTCAGTTTTCCAGTGATTTTCACACATGATATTTAAACAAAGGAAGCATCGATTCATTATTAATTTGTTTTACAAAAATACGAAGCATTTATTTTCAAATACTAACCCAATCAATCTTGACTCTTTACAGTTTGCTGGTCGCATCTTTGGTTAACAACAGCAAATATTAGTATTGAATTATTGGAAAATTATGTTAGAATGAGAACTTTTTTGCATAGGCGAATTTTTTTATTTAGTTTTTAAAATTATTTCTTAATATTTAATACGATAATTTTTGATGTTTTTCATAGTTTATGGACAAATCATTCGTGGAAAAAAAATTCCTCAATATAATGCAGTTTAAAATTACAAACGTTGATAGATTAAAACCGTTGACATTGACAGTATGGTTTCTACTAGCACTTAATGTTCGAATATTACAAATAGAATACATTACTTTCAATGAAATGATTGACTGGGTTACAACCCTAAATGATGCACTTGAAATCAGTGATCTGAGAGTTAAAATGGTCTTACAAAGAATTAATAAAATGACCATTTTTAGAACGTGTTATGGATATAGTCTGCAGTTACAACGTAAGATTCATTCCTTATTAACAAAAATATTTTTGGCTACTATTATTGATAAAATAACAACATATATTTTTCTTTTTTTTTCTTTTCATTTA